CTCCCTCCTATGTCTCTGACTCTCTCTGGGTCTTTCATGAATAAATAAAATCTTAAAAAAAGATAAAAGAGGAAAGGGATTATATCCCCCAAAAGTCCCAGATCCTAGTTGGCTTGTACCATGAGGATCAGCAGGTTAAATATCCCACATACCTCAGCTCTCTGAGCCTCAATGTATCCTTCTTCTAGGAAGAAAATAGAATAGAAATGCCTTTATTGGTCACTGGTAAGATTTAATGCTTAGAACAGTGGCAGTCAGGTGGGAAGTTTCAAAAAACTGTTAAAGCTCTTGAAACATCTGGTGGATGAACAAAGTGACAAACCATGAACTGTCTTTGTGTATTTTCTTTGCACAATTCCAGACTCTCCCAATCAGGAGAGTCCCAGCCCGGCATTGGGGCCCTCAGCTTTCCTGTTAGACTACCATAGCTCTCCCCCAGTTGTCTCTCTCCCTGCCTGGGTCTGCACTGGGTGCCCGGGTGTGCATGGCAGATACCACAGGAGCCACCTGTCTTCCACCTGCCCAGCACCACACCCAAGACGGGCTCGGACATGTGAGAACCTCAAGGTCCATGGGTCACATGCCTTTTCCTGAGCGCACCCAAGGGCACCAAACACAGGATTTTTAAATGAACACAGAAAGTTTCCATTTTCACAGCCCTCCATGTGGCTTCTTTTTTATTTAAAATTTTTTTATTTAAAGAAATTATTTTATTTGTTATTTATTTGAGAGAGAGAGAGAGAGAGAGAGAGAGATATCACGAGCAGTGGGGAAGGTCAGAGGGAGAAGCAGACTCCCTGCTCAGCAGGGAGCCTGATGTGTTACTTGATCCCAGGACCCTGGGATCTTGACCTGAGCCAAAAGCAGACACTTAACTGATGGAGCCACCTAGGCACCTCCCTCTGTGCAGCTTCTAGACTCAATGCGTGCAGAACCAATGTCCTCCTATTCCTCAGACCCATGTCTCCTGCAGAACATCTGATCTCATCACCTCGCCTTCTACCTGCCCAGCCTCAGCACCTCTGTCTATGGACCTCTCTGTGGACCCAATGCTCTGCATAAAAGTGTTGGGGCCTACAGATCTGCTTCCCCTTCTGCTATGACTCTTGGCCTTGATCCTCACTCCCCATTCCCAGGATTCCTGCCTGTCCATGGCAGCCCTGTTGTTCCACCAGGATCATTTGAGGGCCCACCCCAATCCTTTGGCAATTCTACATACTGTTCAGACACACATGATTACCCTATGCAGTGCTGCCTGAGATCTCCTGTCCAGACTTTATTCCCATCCCATGTTTCCAGGTGCTTCCCCCCCTACCCCATTCCTGTCCTTTACCTTGTCTTTACTGGCTCCTGTGTGGCCTTAGGAGATCCATGACCATCCTGTAAAATGAGATTCAGTATGGGAGATTCATTCCATGCTTGGGTAGAATGCAAGTTGAAAAAAGACCCTTGGGTGGCTCAGGGTTTGGTAAGACAGTGCAAGGACTAAGACGTGTTCACAGTGGGTAGGGGAAGGAGGGAGTAGTGGCACTCATGCCCTGGATTTGCTGGCTCTGCACCTGCTAAGGCCCATTCTGGCATGAAACAGCCCCAGATTCCTCACATGGATGAGGAGGAGAATCCCATGTTGCGTGACCTCCCCAGGACATAACTGGGTGGGGGCAAGGCTCCCCGCTGATACAAGGCTTCCATACTTTCTTTGTACTCGAAAGTAGCCCCATAAGGTGGCAGGCAAAAAAACAAATATTTACTCAATGCCTTCTAGGTGCCAGGCACTGTGCCAGGTCTCTGGACATATCAGACAAAACCTCAAGAGGCTGGGAGCTCAACAGAAAGCAAGAGAGCTATTGCCTCACCTCCCTGGAGCATGCCAACCTAGCCCTACTTATACTTTCTGTCTCTTTCTCTTCTAGACGAGTCAGAGAAATCAGGAAAAGTTAAGCCCGAGTTCTCTCTCTGGTGAGCCCCAGTGCTTAGAAAAGGGACCACAAAGAGTAAGCACATATTCAATATTTGCTGAGTGAATGAGGCCTTACGGAGCTGAACCTGTGACCAGAGTGATGCAGTTTAAAATCATGAGAGACTTGGGGCATAATGGTTTGGGGGAGCAGGGGCCTCCAGGGCATAAAACATGAATTGCAAATCTTAGGTGCCATCTGTGCTCTCTCTCTGTCCCACCCCAGATCTTTGGTCCCTGAGGAAAGAGATTTTGCACATGTCTTGCACCCTGGCTTTTGTGGCTGCTGCCCAGAGGACACACCTCTGGTGACAGCCTGGCTCTGGTGGCCAGTGGGGCTTGTGTTCACATGTTCAACAGGAAAGTAGCAAAGAAGGAAACAGTTCTCAACTGGCTAGCACCCCAAGACTCAGCACAGAGGAAGCAGATAGAAACACTTATCTTCCCCTGAAAGAGGTATATTTCCACATTTTTAAAAAAGATGTATTTATTTATTTTAGAGAGAGCACATGCATGCGAGTGCAAACAGGAGCTGCAGAGGGAGAGAGAATCTCAAGCAGATGCCAAGCTGAGCACAGAGCCTGATGTGGGGCTCAGTCTCATGACCCTGAGATCACAACCTGAGCCCAACTGTGCCACTCGGGCACCCCTATTTGTACATGTTTTTTTTTTTTTTTTCTATTTGTACATGTTTGAAAGCTGCTGCTGGAGGTTCAGACTTCCAATTAGCCTGAATCTATTACTGACTGAGATCCTCCCCTTTGGGATACTGACAGGTTATGGCACACCCTCAACTACTAGGAGCCCCTAAAAAGAAAGCAGCCTACTTGGATAATCACCCGAGTTTGAGAGAGAACCAAGAGATAGGGCATGGTTGATCGATAAGGTTAATCTCCTACATGAGGCCTTGCCAAGACTGGCAGAGGTGGCTGTTTTATCTGATGCTTAAAATTAACACAGGGAGTCAAGGGAAAAAAAAGAAACAGAGGGATATATTCCAAATGAAAGAACAAGATAAAAAAACCTCAGAAAAAGACCCTAGTGAAACAAAGATAAGTGATTTACCTGATCCAGAGAAGAAAGGATGAACAAAGCGAGAATACCTCATTTTCTTTCTTTCTTTCTTTCTTTCTTTCTTTCTTTCTTTCTTTCTTTCTTTCTTCTTTCTTTCTTTTTTTCTCATTTACTTTCAATGTCAATTTTAATGCACATTTGTTGTATAAACACAGGGACCCCTGGGCTGGAGGCAGGCAGAATGAAGAACCCTGAAGTAATTACAGGAATGTTTAATTGGGGGTGCCTGGGTGGCTCAGTCAGTTAAGTGTCTGCCTTTGGCTCAGGTCATGATCTTGGGGTCCTGAGATTGAGCCCTGACAGGGAGCCTGCTTCTTCCTCTCCCTCTGCTGCTCCCCTTGCTTGTACTCTTTCTCTCTCTGTCAAATAAATAAATAAAATCTTAAAAAAAAAAAAGAAAAACCCACAGGATTTTTTAAAAATTTAAATTCAATTAATTAACATATAATGTATTATTAATTTCAGAGGTAGAGTTTAGTGATTCATCAGTCTTCTATCATACCCAGTGCTCATCACATCATGTGCCCTCCTGAATGCCTGTCACAGCAGCTTCCCCACCCCCAAATCCACCTCCCCTCTGGAGACCCTCAGTTTGTTTCCTGAGATTAAGAGTCTCTTATGGTTTGTCTCCCTCTCTGATTTCTTTTTTTTATTTTTTATTTTTTTATCATCTTGTTTTATTTTCCCTCTCTTCCCCTGTGATCCTCTGTTTTGTTTCTTAAATTCCACACATGAATGAAATCTTATAACTGTCTTTCTCTTATTGACTTATTTCACATGCATAATACCCTCTAGTTCCATAGGATTTTTTTTTCTTTATGACAATTTCTTTCACTTTAAACCATATTCTCTTCAAACCACAGAATGAAAAATGTGTCCTCCCATAGTTGTCAGGTTTGTACTTTATGGGCCTGTCAATGTGAAAAGTTTTCCATTGCAAATTCTGAGGAAGAGGACATTTATCCCTGAAAAGCCCAGTCTGGTTTTGGATAATGGAGTAGATAACGTTATAGGGAAAATGAGGCTTCCAAGAACCACTATTGTGGATTAGGCTGGAGGCAGCAGTTTAATGAAGGGGTTGTCACCACTGAGCCTCACATTGGAATTCATAGAGAATACTGGAATCATTCAAGTTCTCAGAAGAAAAGGATTGGGTCATGAGAGAAAGGCACTACTTGTGGGAGCCATCTCTGAGGCGCCTTGTGCCCTTAGCATGGGCCTCTATAGGGAAGTCTGTGTGGCCCATGCTTTCTCCTTCTGTCAGAAAAAGGAATGCACAAAAGTGGAAACCCCAGGACTGTGTTAGTGCTAGGAGATAGGCCCTGCTGGCCCGATTCCACATCCCAAACTAGACATATAAAGATACCAAGTGGGGTGCCTGGGTGACTCAGTTGGTTAAGCTTGATCTTAGGGTCCTAGGATCGAGCCCCATGTCTGGCTCCCTGCTCACAACTCCCTCTCTCTCTCAAATAAAAAAAAATAAATTTTTAAAAAAAGATTTTCTTTATTTATTCATGAGAGACACACAGAGAGAGGCAGAGACACAGGCAGAAGGAGAAGCAGGCTCCCTGGACCCCGGGATCAGGCCCTGAGCCAAAGGCAGACTCGGAGACTTGAATTTAATGAATGTGAGTGTGTCCGTCAAAATTTCCTAGAGTTCTGACAAGTTCATCAGCACCTAGAACTGCCCCAGGTCCTGCACTTTTGTTCACATCACAGTAGCAAAGAGAGGTCGTGTTAAACAGTGACCGGTAACAGGTGAGTGCTGGGAGGGATGCCCTCCAGCGTGGCTCTGGCCCCAGGGAAGAGGCCGAAGCAGAGGGCAGCCTGCAGCTGTGCACACCGGCAGCCTGTTTCCATCAGAGCCAGATGAGCCTCGGGTGGAATCCTCCCAAGTGCTGCAGACTTGGGCCAAGCCTTTAAATTCAGAGCCGGAGAGGAGCTTGGACGTAGGTTTTGCCTGTGTGAGATGGAGTTTCAAGTGCCTGACGTGCCGCTGTTGAAAATCTTCTCCTTCCTGGATGCGTTCAGCTTGCTCCAGGCTTCCCAAGTGAACAGGGTAAATGCCATCCACGACCCGCTGTGGGATCCGCCCCACCCTCACCCCAAGTCCTTGCGCAGACTCCTTTCACCTCAGTCCCTGGCGTTTCACCAAGTCCCAGTTCTTGGTGAACCCAGCCTTGGACCCATAGAGCTGCCCTCACTGCTCACATTTGCCCTGTTTCAGACTCATCCAATCAGCTCCCATAAATCCAGGTCCCTGGATTTCCATTGCTTCTCTACAGTACGTTGAGCACCCATTCGCAGAATAGCAGGGTGATGCACTGGGTGTTGGGGGTTAGCATCCTGCACTCTGAGGGCCTCACGTTTCCTTAAATGAAAAAGACAAAGGGATACACAGGGGTCCCTGTGCTGACTAAAGGGTCCCATAGTTCCTGTGTCAAGTCCCCAAGTTTCTCCTGCTGAAACCCCAAGGGATTCCGAGGGCCTGTCTTAACCAAGATGGGCCCCTGCTGTCCTCATGGTGTCCCAGTTCCCCCCAGACTGGGAGGGCTTTGAGAGCCCAGATGGTGGCTGATTAACCGATAGGTGCCTTGCTCCTACAAAATGATGGCAGAGGAGGAGCCAGTGTTTGGGTATTGACTGCCTGCTTACCTCTTCCTTTGTCTCCCTCAGTGTTGGAATAGGGTTGCAGAGAATGATCACCTGTGGAGGTAGGTGAGCACAGGAAGGGAAGGGTGGGAAGGCAGGTGGCTCTCATGGGAGGCGGAGGGCATCCGAGTGTGTACCAGGAAGGCCTGTAGGCGGCTGTGCCAGGAGAGGCCTGAGTGAGACTTACAGTGAGGAAAGGGTTCATGAGACCAGGGCTCTTGAGGCGGTGAATTGACTGGGCGCAGCCTGGGGGGATGATGACTCTGTTTCCAGGAACCTGTGTCTGAAGAAATGGAGTTTCTGCAACTTCTCCCAGTGCCTGGGCTCACTGACGTGGAAGCAGTTCTTCCTCAAACAGAGAAAGCAGGAGTACCGGATGGCGTTGGCGAAGCCAGAAGACTTTACCTTCAGAGAAGCAAGTGGGAACCTCGGTACAGGGAAAGGGCTACCTTAAAGGAACGGGACAAACTTATTTTAAGAAATGCCTATTCTTTTTTTTTTTTAAGATTTTATTTATTCATGAGAGACACACACAGAGGGAGAGACATAGGCAGAGGGAGAAGCAGGCTCCACGCGGGGAGCCTGACATGGGACTTGATCCCGGGTCTCCAGGATCACACCCCAGGCTGAAGGCGGCGCTAAACCACTGAGCCACCGGGGCTGCCTGAAATGCCTATTCTTGAGGTGCCTGGGTGGCTCAGTGGTTGAGCATCTGCCTTTGGGTTGGGTTGTGGTCCTGAGGTCCTGGGATCCAGTCCCTCATCAGACTCTCCACAGGGAGCCTGCTTCTCCTTCTGCCTATGTCTCTGCCTCGCTTACTCTTTGTGTCTCTCAGGAATAAAAATCTGAAAAAAAGAAAACAGTATTCTACACACACACACACACACACACACACGTGTCTTCATTCAGTGAAGAGAAAATTAAAGCTTAATGGGACCAGGTTGCTGTGATAGCTGTCAGAGTCTCCCTGCATCTTCTCTTGACCCCCATGGTCTATGGTGCATGGAAAAACCAGAGTGATCTTTTTATGAGATCAGATCAGGCTCCTGACTCCCTTTCTCCAAAGGCTTCCTGTCCCTCCTAGAATAAAAACTTTAAACAAAAAGGAAACTTAAATAACAGAGCTTCTACCATTCACTTTACTCCTAGTACCTCTTCTAAAACTCTGAACAGTTCTCCTATGGAGAGCTCTTTATCCCCATCTTATATGTATGGAAACTGAAATGAAGGAGGAAAGGTAAGTCAGCCAGCGTCTCCCAAATGGCTAATCTGCCATTTCCATGTTTGGATGACTCTGGAGCCAGCTTCTTCTCTTCTCCATAATTGTTTCCCAAACTCTAAGAGAGCGCAGGAGAACCCACAGTTATCTTTCCAGAGTCCTCTTTAATTTGATCAGATCATCCCTCAGTTATCTGGTGATCTGGTGGCCAAGTGTTGTCTGTGTTTCCTTCTAGGAATCTTAGGACCTATGGCTTATCTGTCAGGAAATGACCACACAGTGGGTGGACAAGAGAAGTCAGTCATTTGCACGGTGTCATCAAAACACGTGCTTTGTACCTGGGACGTGCAGGAGGTGAGTCTGGCCAATGAGGAGCACAAGTAATGCATGGTCATATCCATCTTGTTTCACACAAGAAACAAGTGCTGGGGTGGGGAGTGGAATGATACTTGGAATTGGTAACAGAAGCAGAATTTCAAATCAGGTCTTCTAGCTGGTAATCTGTGACCTTTCCACTGAAACTGTAGACAGAGAAAATTTACTTTTTTATGTGTTTCTATATATAAATCTGTGCAAGGATTTATCTTCTATCAGTAACGTAGAATGGCTGTGAAATAAACTTTGGGTGTTGTGCATCTTTGTGACCTCTTTGTCTATGGTTGGCATTTGTCACGTTGGCTTTTTCAGAGAGTGGTCTCTAACTCAGATCACTTCCAAGGCACATGAAAGTCTTCTATCATCAGGACTAGTAAATGTGGTGCAAGAATCACTAGATAGGGAATTGGAAGAAAGACTCCAAAGTGAGTCCCAAGTTATTGTATTTTCTTGGCTTTCTCTGTTTGGATTTTTCTCCTTTCCCTGTGAAAATTATGTAATGACACTTTTTCACACCAGATCTTCTGAAGTATGATAAATACCCCTTTATGAATATATGAGGTGGCGGGAGAATGATGAAATAAGTCTAAAAGGGACACCTAAAGTCATGCAATGTTATATGTCAATTACATTCACTAAAGCTGAGAAAATAAATCAGAAAGGTACTACTCTCTTGGGTAACCTGCTCTAGGGGAAACCAGTCACCATGTCCTTGAGAACATCCAAGCATCCCAGTGGATTATCCACTTGGTAGAGATCTCAGGCCTTCTGCCAACAGCCAGCACCATCTTTGCAGTCATGTGAGTGAACCACCTTGGAACATAACCTTCAATCCTTCAGATTATTGCCTGGAGGAGAGGCAGCTAAAATCTTACCAGCTAGAAGACCTGATTTGAAATTCTGCTCTGTTACCAATTCCAAGTATCATTCCACTCCCCACCCCAGCACTTGTTTCTTGTGTGGAACAAGATGGATACGACCATGCATTACTTGTAGATGTATTGATTATTGTCAGCATGCTACAACCTAATGAGGAACCCTAAACCAGAGTCATTAAGTGAATCATATATGTGCTTCATATATGAAGTGAGCACAACCACTCAGTGAATCAAATTCTGAATTTGGGCCAACATAAGCTGTGTGAAATAAGTGTTTATTGCTTTGACTACTCAGCTATGGCGTTGGGCCACCATCTATGGGCAGGATAATTCCAAAGGCAGAACCAAGAGCCTAGAGCCTAGAGAGCCTAGAGAGTGGAGCCAGGAGTCCTGAAGAATCTTTCCCAAGCCTTGAATCCTGATCAGCATTCTACCAGCACATTCTCTATCAGATCTCAAGTTCTCTGGGTAGCAGTGGTTCCCATCCCTCTACTGCCATTCCCCCTCCCCTTTTTTTGGGGGGGGGGGAGAGTGTCTATAATGTTATCCTTACCTATGTTGTAATGCCCTATCCTTGTGTTTTAGGGATAACAGGTCAGACAACTTGTAAAATATACAAGTTGTTTCTTGTATAGGTCTAAGATTTTCACATCTAGATGAACTGAATCTAGAGAACTTCATCTCATTAAACAGTAAAATCTAGATTTTGAGATAGTGCCATAATGGTGAGATATTTGGGGGCATTGGGAGATGGTGAATGTATTTTGCACGTGGGAGGGACTGCAGGGTGGCTGTGTCAGCCAGTCTCTAAAATGGCGTCAATATTCCTTGTCCTATATTCATGATCTTAGGTCATCCACTCCTACTTTGAATAGGGCTGACCTTTATCACCAACTGACATTGTGGAAGTGATGGTGTCTAACTTCCAAAGCTATGTCCTGAAAGATTCTTTCTTTCCCTCTTGAGTCACTGGCTCCTAGAAACCCAGCCATAGTGTTATGAGAACCTTAAAGAAGCCCTACAGGGAGGTCCGTGTGGCAAAGTACTGAAGACTGCCAGTAGCCAGCACCCACTTGCCAGCCATATGAGTGAACCATCTTGATTGAGCCTCATCCTTATGAAGCCGACTTCAACCTCATAAGATACCCCAAGCCAGAACCACCTAGCCAAGCTATACCTGAATTTCTAGCAGAAACTGAGATAAAAAAAAAACTCCAGTTTTTATGGAGAGGGTTTATTATTTTTTTATTTTGCTTATTTAAAAAGAATCCAGTATGGTTAACATACAGCATTGTCTTAACTTCAGGTGTACAATATAATGATTCAATTTTGTATATCACCCAGTGCTCATCAAGACCAGTGCTCTTCATCCCCATCACCTGTTTCTCCCATTCTCCACCCCCTGCTCTGATAACTGTTCTCTATAGTTGAGACAAACCAAAAAACACTTTTCTGTCTTGTTTCTTAAATTCCACATATGAGTGAAATCATATGGTATTTGTCTTTCTCTGATTTATTTCACTTAGCATTATACTATCTAGATCAATCCGTGTTGTTGTAAATGGCAAAATCTCATTCTTTTTCACGGCCAAGTAATATTCCATTGTATATGTATGGTTTTTTTTGTTTTTTTTTTAATTTTTTATTTATTTATGATAGTCACAGAGAGAGAGGCAGAGACACAGGAGGAGGGAGAAGCAGGCTCCATGCACCGGAAGCCCGACGTGGGATTCGATCCCGGGTCTCCAGGATCGCGCCCCGGGCCAAGGGCAGGCGCCAAAACGCTGCACCACCCAGGGATCCCTGTATATGTATGTTTGTGTATACATACACACCTCAATCTTTTTTTTTTTCAATCTTCTTTATCCATTAACCTATTGATGCATACTTGGGTCACTTCCATATCTTGGCTATTGTAAATAACGCAATGAACATAAGAATGCACATATATCTTCAAGTTAGCATTTTTCCTCTTTTTTTTTTTCAGCTAAATATCCAGTAGTGGACTTGCTGGACCATGTGGCAGTTTTCTGTGTAAATTTTTGAGGAACCTCCATACTGTTTTCCACAGTGGCTGCACCAGTTTGCATTCCCCCCAACAGCGCACAAGAATTCCTTTTTCTCTGCACCCTTACCAACACTTGTTGGTTGTTGCATTTTTTATTTCAGCCATTCTGACAGGTTTGAGGTCTTATCTCATTGTGGCTTTGATTTTTAAGCCACCCAATTTTGGGATGACTTATTGCAGAGCAATCTGTTGGAGTTATGAATCAAAATGGTGAGGGATGCCTGGGTGGCTCAGTGGTTAAGCGTCTGCCTTTGGCCCAGAGCATGATCCTGGAGACCTGGGTTCGAGTCCTGCATCAGGTTTCCTGCATGGAGCCTGCTTCTCTCTCTGCCTCTGCCTCTGTCTATGTCTCTGCCTCTCTCTGTGTCTCTCAATAAATAAATTCTTTTTTAAAAAATGGTGATTACATTTGGGGAGGGTGGAGAAGTTAATACAGCAAGTACAAGTGGGCTTAGAAGTAGTTATATGATCAATTTATAATTGAATTTTACATTATTGTGTTCTTTTTCTTTTTTTTCCTTTTTTTCCTTTTTTTCTTTTCTCTTTACATTATATTCTTCACAATTTTTTAAAGGCTAAAGAAAATCTAGAAACTGTTTCTTCTGTCTTATTTTGAATGTACAAGATTGATGATGGAATAACAATTATGATAGTTGACGTGCTCTGAACTCCTGTGAATTAGGGAGAGTTCTTTTTTTAAAGATTTATTTATTTGGAGGCGGGGTGGAGAGAGAGAAACCCAAGCTGACTCCGTGCTAAACACGGAGCCCAACACAGGGCTCAGTCTCACAATCCTGAGATCATGACCTGAGCCGAAACCAAGAGTCCAATGCTTACCCAACTGTGCCACCCAGGCACCCCTAGGCAGAATTCCAAGAATGTTCCATGTGCTGTGGAATGTAATACAACAGTCCTATAAGAAGCCAGGCTGGTAAGTAACTTGTTGAATGTAACACTGCTATTAAGGAGCAGCACTGATTTGAGCCCAGAAGCCTGACCATTCTTTGTGCCCATCACATAGTGAGATCTTGCCTGTGAATATACTGCGTTGTTCCTTTTCTGTGTTCACTATCCCTTAAATAATTGAGATGTTTAGAGTTTTCTCATTCTTTTCCTGGAAGCAAGAAATGGATCTGATTTGGAGACTTCCAAATAAACTCTGGCAGAATGAAAGCACAGAATGAAAGCACAGAAAGCACAGCGAAGAGTTCCTTGCACACATACAGTGTTCCTCTCCTCTAGGGCACTATGATCTGGTCCAGCCCAGTCCAGCAGTCTAGCATCATGCATCTGGCGACCCTCCCTCAGATGCATCTCGCATTCACTGTGGACTTGGAAGGAACTGTCAAAGTGTGGAATTGTCAGGATGAGGATGCCCTGGCTACTCTTGCCATACCTCGGGCCTGTTTTTCTTTGGAAATCTGTCTCACAAATGATGGCCCATTCTTGATGGTAAGTGAGCCCTGTACCAAGAGATGGCCCACAAAACGAATGCCTGCCACCTTGAAAGATGTTGTGGCCCTGTGACTGTCACATCACCATCTATCTTCTTGGAGTCATCCCTACCACATACCCTGAGAGTTAAAACATACTAACGAATGTTGGCCATACAAACCTCACTAGCATCTTGGCCTTTGATCTACCACAAGTACATTTCCCTATTCTTCCAAAAAAGAAAAAAAAAACCCTCATTGAATGATTTCATGTCCATGTCTCTTCTTTCAAGTGTATATTGTACAGTACTTGATTGTGGGCAGGGATTACGGGGAGTGAGAGCTGAGGATTTGGGAAGACATTGAGGAAAAAAAGAACAGTGTTGATGTGCTAACTATTATTGAAGACAGTGCTTTGGGGCTTAGAAAGTTTTATTCCTTGGGATGGTTCTTGCAACACTGAGGCAGCTTTTCATCTCCATTATGTGACTGAAGAAACAGTGGTATGTTTTGCAGCTGACAGTGCTGCCTTCTGTGTGCTTTAGGATTTCCTGTCTCTTTCCATTGACGTGGTGGTGGTGCTTTGGTTTCAGGTAGGCAATTCTGAAGGTGACATCTACACACTGACCGTGCCTGAGCTAAGGGGTGTCTCTAAAGTCAATGCATTTAAATATAGTGTTGACCTCCTACACTGCTCTCCTGACAGGAAATGGATCTTTGCATCTGGGACACATCAGAATATCTTGCCAATGGTATGTGTTGCTCTGTGCTTTATCTTTGGGAGGAGAGGGTCAAGTATTAGGAAGGTGGGGTTTCAGGAAGTGTTGGAGAACCTGCAGGACTCAGGAAGGACCAGATGTAGTGCTCCCCCTGCTCAAAGGCCATATCACTCATAGAATCCATTGCTATAGCCAAGGAACAATGTTCTTTGAAGTGATAGTGTCTAGTTGCATAAACAAATGTTTGTTAAAATTTGCTCATGAAACCTGAATCAGCCAAAGAGATAGAGGAAGGTGAGAGATCTCAAGAAAGGAGGATCTTTGGTATCTTTACTTTAGCTTTCCTTACTTTTATCCACATTGTCTGGAAAGTACAAAGAAGTCCAGAAGTAAATAAAAACGTATCAGCCTCTGAATGTCCCTCTGGGAAAGTCTGTGGCCTTTGAGCCAGCCATTTTTATCATGTGGTACATGTGGATCAGGCACCAGAGTCCAGGGAGCTGAGAGGAGGCAACAAAAGCAAAACAGCTCTTGACTAGTTATCCAAGGAGGGAGAGATCTGTTGAACCAATGGCAACTTGATCTGGGCTCCAAAGTGGCTGGATGATTTTTGTAACTCTGTGGTTTGCCAGAAGAGCAGCTTCAGGGGCCTTGTTCTCTGCCAGACCATGACAGGCAGGATAGGAAGACATTCCTTGGATGTCAGAGGACGAGCAGGGACTTACTCAGTGTTTCCTAAGATTCAGAATAAAGTTTTGGCCACAAAACAAGAACTTTTTTTGAGTCACATCTCTACTGACTGAGTCAGCGAGGTGCCCCACAAAACAAGGACTTTTAAGGAGGCTCTTCGGGAGTCCCTCGTATACTGACATGCTGCAACTTCTCCCTTCACCTGACTACATGTGCAATAATCTCTCCATAGGTGTTTCTCACAGAGTGCTTACTGAAACCGTCAGAAGGCAAAAGCCCTCTGTGCCTCTCTATCCCATTTTCATCATGCTGCAGAGCCTGCTGGGCCCCAAGGAAGACAAGCAGGGTAACAGTGATGTACCGAAGAGGTTCTTTCAAAAAGACAGGATTTACCACCTTTGATCTAATGGCTAAGAGGACTGGGGGCAGGACAGACATCCAAGGTAGGCTGTGCCACATCAGAGACACGGTTTCTAGTTCCTTTCACACATGCATTCTTTGGAAGCTATAAATCTGTGGAAAGGGGGAAGGGGCTTTCTTTTCCTGGAGGATAAGTGCATATGTGCCTTTGACCCCCGTGCTCTGCCTTCTACTATGCTCCACCCCACTCTTGGACAGATATGTTTAGATCCTATCCTGCTTTAGGGCCTGGACCCCATGCATGCTCCATGCCTGACCTGGTGGCTACTGTCCACGGCCCCTGTTCCTGGGGCCTAGAACCTGTTACCCTGGTTCGTGATATGTATTTATCACTGACCTACCCTTCATTTTCCTCCCCATATTGAGGTCCTGTGAAAGGAGGGAGCATCTTTTTTTCATTTTGTGTAAAGATGTTGTTCTGACTGATCCACAGTTTGCCTGCATGTGTGTATGTGTTTTGCATGAAAACAGCCCATCAGGTTGCAACTTTCCTGTTGCCAGTTCATATGGAGAGTCCTATTTGGATGGGAGTCGGTGATGGCAATATGATCGTGTTTGAGAGTGGGCCATACTTGTTCCTCTTCACCATCAGTGGCCACCTGCTGCAACGATTTGAGGACCACCAGAGGACCATCAGCAACCTATGGGTGGTATGTATGAGCCTCTTCTGCCCCTGCTCGTTGCTCTGACTTTGACTCTGGGCCATTCATCCCGGCTATCCTTTGAAGGATTCTGTGCACATCCTCACCACATCTATGGATGACTCTCTGCATTTGTACATGTGGGAAGACGAAGGCCGTTATCCATACCTCAAGAGCTGCTGTCACCTGGAACACATAGGGAGTGACCTGGCACCAAGCTGGTAAGCTCTGCTTTGTGACTTAAACTTCCCTTTAAGATTTCAAATTTTGACATAAAAATATGAAGGGCTAATAAGTGAGATTTATTTATTTATTTATTTATTTATTTATTTATTTATTTATTTATTTATTTATGATAGTCACACACACAGAGAGAGAGGCAGAGACACAGGCAGAGGGAGAAACAGGCTCCATGCACCGGGAGCCCGACATGGGATTCGATCCCGGGTCTCCAGGATCGCGCCCTGGGCCAAAGGCAGGTGCCAAACCGCTGCGCCACCCAGGGATCCCCTAAGTGAGATTTTTTTAAAAAGATTTTTTTGAGGATATGTATAAATAAACTTCTGTCCAAAAAGCAAATTGCTAGTTCTTGGAATATGTTCACAGCCCTTGCAGTAGATTTCAAAAGCCTTTCCAAAGGGGCTCCCATTTGTTTGCCCAGTATCTTCATCAGAATATCCTCAATATTTTGTCATTACCTTTTTTGAGTTCATTAGTCATTTGGGTTACTTCTTTTTTTAAGACTTTATTTTTTCATTTGAGAGAGAGAGAACATAAGCAGGGAGAAGGGGCAAAGAGTGAGGAAGAAGCAGACCCCCCACTGAGCAGGGAGCCTGGTACGAGACTTGATCCCAGGACCCTGGGATCATACTTTGACCCGAAGGCAGACTCTTGACCCACTGAGCCACCCAGGCACCCCTGGGTTGCTTCTTTAGTGAGCTGTTTTTATCTCCATTTTAGTTTTCTTCTAGATTGCTTGCCTTCATCTAAATTGTTTTTCTCAAGCTTTTATATACTGTAGATAGAGGTCTTGTCTTTGTATATACCTTGTTGCTTGTCCTTATGGGTTTATTCTTGGTAATATCTAACACAATACAAATACATATATCCTTCAAACTGCCTGTACCACTAGCAGGAATTTACTTTGATAGTAAGCCTCCAGCAATTAGAAATACATTGATTGTCTTGCAACATGAGTTGTGATTGCCAAATGCTGGAAACTAATTGCCCAAATGTAAGAGACTATTTAAATTACTATGGCTTATACACATAATGGAGTACTGTGCAGCTGTAATTTAAATCTTTATGTTCCATTAAATTATTTCCAGTGTTTTTGAGGCAAAAAAATGAACTATATATAACTGACATATAATTATGCTTAGCAGATTTTTTATATTCATCATCTAATATATCTTAGCCTACTCTGAGTCATAAATGCTTTTTTTCTCCTTTCAATAATTTAAAAAATTTATAAAAAGATTTACTTAGCCCAAGCAAGGGGAGGGATGTGGGGGGGAAAGAGAGAGAGAGAGACAGAGAGAGAGAAGCAGCTTCCCCACTGACCAGGGAGCCAGGTGTAGAGCTCAATCTCACAACCCTGAGATAATTTTTAAAAGATTTTTACTTATTTTAGAGAGAGAGACAGAGACAGAGGTAGCCCACAAGCAGGGTGAGGGCAGAGGGAGAGGCAGAAGCAGATTCCCCACTCAGCAGGGAGCCCAATTCAGGGCTAGATCCCAGGACCCTGAGATCTTGACCTGAACTGAAGGCAGACACAACCAAATGAGCCATCCAGGTGCCTCCAGTGATTGACTTTTCTGAATATTGAAACAAAAAAAAGATTTTTTTTTATTTTTTTATTTTTTTCAAAAAAAATATTTTATTTATTTATTCATGAGGGACATAGAGAGAGAGATACAGAGACACAGGCAGAGGGAGAAGCAGGTTCCACATAGGGAGCCAAATGTAGGGCTCAATCCCTGGAGTCCAGGATCACGCCCTGGGCCAAAGGTGGGCACTAAACTACTGAGTCACCCAGGCGACTCAGATGATCTCTTTAATGCTGAGTGAGTTTTGGTAGTTTGGTTTTCTGGGAATTAGTCATTCATCTAACTTGTTCCTTTCAGTCTGTTATATATCTGCAGAATCTGGTGATTTCAACTCCTTCAATCCTGATATTGGTAATTTGTCTTTTTTTCTTTGTCAATCTTAATAGAGGTTTCCTTATTTTTATTATTTTTTTGAAGAAATAGCTTTTCTTTTGTTTCCCCCTCAGTTTTATCTCTGTCTGCTCTGATTTCCTTCCTTCTTGCTTTGGTTTATTTTGTTCTCTATTTTTTTTTAAGATTTTGTTTATTCATGAGAGACACAGAGAGACAGAGACATAGAGGGAGAAGCAGGCTCCCTATGGGAGCCCAACGCAGGACTTGATCCCAGGACCCTGGGATCATGCCCTGAGTGGAAGGCAGATGCTCAACCACTGAGCCACACAGGCATCTCTGTTCTAATTTTTGAGGTAGAAACTTAGATTATTGCTTTGAGACTTTTTTTTTTTAATTTGAGTGAACACATGAGTGAGCCAGAGGAGGGGCAGAGGGAGAGAAGGAAGAGAATCTCAAGCAGACTCCATGCTGAGTGTAGAGCCCAAGACAGGCCAGATCCCACAACCCCAAGATCACTACAGAGCAGAAACTAAGAGTTGGTCACCCAACTGACTAAGCCACCCAGGCATCCCAAAACCTCTCTTTTTAAATATAAGCATTTGATACTCTAAATTCCTCACTAAGCACTGCTTTGGCTGCAACTTACAGATTTCAACTGATTGTATTTTCATTTTCACTCAGTTCCCTATACTTTCTATTTCCCTTTTCCTCTTTGACCCATGGATTATTTATTTTCCAGTTTTAATTTAAATTCCAGGGCCCCTGGGTGGCTCAGGTGATGATCCCAGGGTCCTAGGATGAGCCCTCAGTTGGGCTTCCTGCTCAGCAGGGAAGTTGCTTCTCCCTTTCCCTCTGCTCCTGCTTGTGCTCACTCATTCTCAGAGTCTTTTTAGAAACTCTTATTTAGGGCAGCCCAGGTGGCTCAGTGGTTTAGTGCTGCCTTTGGCCAGGGGTATGATCCTGGGTCTCCAGGATCAAGTCCCATGCCATGTCGGGCTCCCTGCATGGAGCCTGCTTCTCCCTCTGCCTTTGTCTCTGCCTCTCTCTCTGTGTATGTGTCTCTCATGAATAAATAAATAAAATCTTTAAAAACAAACAAAAAAACCTCTTTTATTTAGAAATAAATTCCAGTTAGTCAACATATAATGTAATATTAATTTCAAGAATAGAGACCCATGGATTATTCAAAAGTGTTTTTATTTTTCAAGTGTTTGGATATTTTATTGCTTTTCATTGATTGCTAGTTTGAATCATTTATAGAGAGCATACTCGGTATGTTCTTCATTCTTTTCTGTTGAACTTTCCTTTGTGAGCTAAGGGGTAATCTGTGTTGGTGAATGTTTGGTATGTGCCTGCAAAGAATGTGTACCCTGCCCTTGTTGGGTCACATGTTCTGTCACTGGCAATGGCGTCACCTTGGTTGATTATCTGTTTCAGTTCCTCTATAGCTTTTCTGATTTTTGACCTAGTGGTTCTATCAATTATGAGAGAAGATTGTTGAAATTTTTGACTATGAATGTAGATCTATTTTTCCTTTAAATTCTATCAGTTTTTATTTCATGTATTTTGCAGCTCTGTTATTTGGTATATACACATTTGGTATTACTATGTCTTTTTGGTTAGTTGGCCCTCTTATTTTTGTGTAATGTCCCTCCTTGTTCTTGGCAATTTTCTTTGCTCTGAGGTTTACTTTACCTGTTATTAATTTAGCTACTCCTACTCTCTCTCAGCTAATGTTTGTATGTGACATTGTTCTCCTTTCATTTACTTCCAATCTACTTATATCATTATAATTAAAGTGAGTTTCTTGTAGACAGCATCTAATTGGGTCATGTTTTTATCCACAGTGTGCCAAGATCTGTCTTTTAACTGGTATATTAACTTTTCTTATTTCAGCATTTGGGAAATGTTATTTCCTTCTGGCTTCTATGGTAGCCAATGAGAAATCCACTGTCATTCAAGGTGGTGTTCTTCTGTAGATAAAGTGTCATTTTTCTTGGTCTGATTTCAAGTTATTTTCTGTCTTTAGTTTTCAGAAATTTGATGTGTTTGATGTAGATTTCTTTGAATTTAACCTGCTTGGGTTTGATCAACTTTTTCACTCTGTAGGTTTACCAAATTTGAGGAATTTTAGCTATTACTTGTCTCTGCAGTGCTTGAAGGGAAGAGGAAGGTGTGCCACCTCTACTCACTTTAGTGCAGGGGAGGAGATGGTCAACAGGGATCTACCTCAGTCTTTGCTGGGGGTGGGGAATGGGGCAGGGAATGGTAAAAGCACCACCTTTGCTTGGGTTAGTGCAAGGCAGGGATGGTCAACAGAACTCTACCCCCAGTTTCTGGACTCCTGAAGAAAAGGAGTATTACCTCAATAATACAGGATGGGAATGGTTGACAGGGCCATGCCTCACAATCTCTACATCTCCCCCATGGGGAGGGAGGCATGGCCTCTTTTGGGTATTCACCTGGAATAGGGCAAGTGTAGTCAAAGGGAACAGAATTCTATTTTAAAATAAATATATTCTTTCTTGGGGGACCTGAGTGCCTCAGTCTTTTAAGTGTCTGCCTGCAGCTCAGGTCATGATCCCTGGGTTCTGGAAGTGAGCCCTGTATCAGGCACTCTGCTTGGCAGGGAGTCTGTTTCTCCCTTTCCCTCTCACCTTCCCCCCTGCTTGTGCTCTCATTCACATTCTCTCAAGTGAATAACAAAAAAATCTTTAAAAAAATATTCTCCATCATTACTAAATAATATCTCTGATTTGCTAGATTATCTTGATCATTCTGGTGATGCTATCTCAGAGCAGTTTGAAGTTGCTACTCCTGCAAATAGTAATCAGCATGACTGTGCCAGATCTGTGCAGTCAAAACCAAATCTAAGAGTAACTTCAATGATCAAAGGACCAATTAATTTGCGAAGAATACTCATATCTTTGTTGGGGTCAAATTTAGTATTATCAACTATGTCCCTTTGTCCACTGATTTCGTTTTTTCTGTTGGCAGCTATGTCTCCAAAGCAATATGTGATAACATGAGCATAGTATGTGTGGTGTCAAGAATTCGTGAATCCAGCATTCTGGTGATGTATTCTTTGCATATGTAATGTGGAAACTAATGGAATTAACCCTACATCATTTCCCTCCATGTAGTAAAGAGATTTCTGTTTGCAAACCCAGAATGATTATTTTAGTAATATTAGGAAAGAAGCAATGACTTAACTACTGACAGTAAATCAGACACTATAATGGATACTACAGATCCGGCACTATACAGATAGAATGCAGAGCAACATATCCTTTGTCCTTGCCAGTATAGAATACCAAGGTAGTCAAATATAACTGGTCATACAAATCAATTCAAAGGAAGCCTATAACTGGGGAAAGCATGACTGTAGATTAAGGCTGGTTTAAAAACAAAGGCATGAGGATGCCTGGCTCAGTTGGTAAAGCATGCAACTCTTGGATTTTGGGGTTGTGAGTTTGAGCCCCATGTTGGGCATGGAGCCTACTTTAAAAAAATTGTAAAAGTGAAGGTCATCTGTATTAGTGTTCTCTAATACATCTATTTTTTGCTTACATTTTAGAAAAACAGATGGTAATACTTAAAGGTAGCTACAAGAGACTCAGAATATGGATGGTAGGAATATGTGCTCATGAAGACTAGGAAATAGGAAATATAGCAAAAGCTAAATCACATGAAAGTTTGGATTTGTATAGCATCACAGCCACTGTAAGGGACATGATAAAGCACTGCCCCCTAGGTTTGTATCATTGGCTCAGGAGAGAGAGTACTGAAAAATCAAGCCTAAGATCCACAGGTCTACAGTCCTGGCTTTGAGAGGAGGGGAGGACTGGAAGAAAGATGATGTGAAGGAGTAGACTGTACTCTAATGGGAATGTAATCTAAATGGGAGATTTCTCCAAGGAGCAGTGTGGGTTTCCAGGCTGTTAAAGTGCCCACCATTCCCTTTTCCTCGAAATAAACTTCAAGCTCTAACCAGGAGGATAAAGGAAAGGAAGTCAATGAAGGGTCTCAGGAAATGGAGAAGGCTGGGAGGAGAACCTGATGTGAGATGCTTTGTAAACAGCACCTGAAAATTCTGGGACATTTGCATGTTTGGTTTACGTCAGAATCAAAGTCAGCCAGTAGGAGTATATACTAACACAAGAGTGGAAAGTCACATAGACATTTGCAGGATATAATCCAAACATTTTGTTTTTTAACAAAGGGGGGAAAAAGACCCACATTGTGTAGATCTATGTTTTTCAAAGATCTTTTTAAAGATTTTATTCATTCATGAGAGACAGAGAGAGGTAGGCAGAGGGAGAAGCAGGCTCCGTGCCAGGAGCCCGATGTGCATCTTGAGCCCGAGACTCCAGGATCACACCCTGAGCCGAAGGTAGACGCTTAACCACTGAGCCACCCAGGTGTCCCTCAAAGATCCTTTTCACTGTCATATATAAAACTGATTTAGAAGGAGCCATTGCATACACTTGAAACTAATATGTCATATGCCAATTTTATCTCAATTTAAAAAATGTAGCCATCATGACTAGGGAAAGCCAGAGAGGCCACGGTCTTGCTTAGAATCTCTGTCATAAAGGGACTATGTGGTGGTGGACATGGAGGTAGAAGATGAGATAGAGGAAAAAAATCTGCGGACCACATGTGCATGAGCACAAAGACTGTAATCTGTCATAGGAAACAAGGCTAAACAGAATCCCCCAGAGCCTGTGATTTCTGAATAACTTAAAGAGAGACAAAACTGAATTGATGCTGGGCTTTCATTTTCCAGAAAAAGGTGGTCAAGACATGCAGAGAGAACTTTCTACACACAGCACCAAACATTGTTCAAAACTGCACATACAAAAGAAAACCTTAAAACCCATGGGTAAGGGGGCTGGAATTGAAGAGAAACCTTCTAAGTTGGGGAATGAGAAAAGAGGGTAAACCCAGAAAAGTCAACAAGTGTTGCATGCCTTCTTCACAGAATTTTAAAGGACTCCATGATGGAATACAGAGCCCCTGCCAAGGTCAGGTCACAGATCTGCAAGGTCTAAAACCCTCAGAAAAGTAACCATCCTTTCCTTTTAGGTAAACTGAAGGGGAAGTCTATCCATTGGAAAAGGATGATGGGAGAGCTGCCTCTCTCAACTTCAGGTTTAGGTGGAATAAAAACAGAAACCACTCTCTCCAGAGAATTCCTAACCATAACAATAATCTCCTTGGAGGTGGAGTGGACATCAGTCAAGGTCCCAAGACTAGACAGAGGTCACAGCCAAATTAAGGTAATTTGACCTATCTTTAATAAAGGGATGACTATAATTAGGACTTGTGGTGAAAAGCATTCAAGAAGCCACAGAAGTAATACACCTAGTGGTATTTTAGCCTCTCCTTTTTGTACACTTCCCTACAGGCCCCTGGCAGTCCACTTTTGACCTGTGCTTGCTAGTCTAGTCCAGGTTTTGTTTCTGTCTCAGCCACAGGAAACTCCTGTTGGTGGGCACCAGCTGGTGGGAAGAGTTCATCTTCCCTCCCAGTACCTGGGGTCCAGAACTGCCCTAAGGGTGCCAACCCAGCATAGCTGACTTAGTTACCAAAGGGGTACTGACTCCCCACTCCCTTTTTCTTTATTATTTTTTAAAGATTTTATTTATTTATTCATGAAAGACGGAGAGAGAGGCAGAGACATAGGCAGAGGGAGAAGCAGGCTCCCGGCAAGGAGCCCAATGGGGCACTCATCCTGGATCCCAGGATCACGCCCTGAGCCAAAGGCAGACACGCAAGTGCTGAGCCACCCAGGCTCCCACACACACACACACTCCCTTTTTCATCCCCCGGGCTGGCTTACTGTAGACAACAGAGAATTAAACAGGGCTCTTCCTTTAATTAGAATGCCTCTGCCATATCATTGCTTGAATGGATACATTCAAAAAACAGGAACAAGTGGTTGATATATTTGACTAACACATTCTATTTAGTAAAAACTTTACCAGAAAGAGAGAAGTGTCCTCCCCATCACGCATGTACGTTGCCCCACTACAGGCTATGAAGCAAACTTGGACCTGCTCCTGACACCCAGGAGACAGAGCTGTGGAAAAGGAGACCACATTTGGCTGTCTTGGGGCCTTGACCTAACTGCAGTTTCAGCCCCCTAGAAATATCCTCTTTACCCAGTCAACATGGGATGTTCCTGGTCAGCACTGGGAGATTTACTGCTATGCCCCTGCTGTTCCCCTTAGGGGTGCAACCTTTCCTAAAACAATGGTTCTTTACTAATGATTTCCCTTTTTCCACTCCCTAGGAACTTTTCCTTTTCTATAGCCCTTTGGAGCTCCCCTTGACTTGCTAGATGGAGATGGATCTTTAAAATTTACTTGGTTGAGGGGTGCCTGGGTGGCTCAGTCAGTTAAGTGTCTGCCTTCAGCTCCGGTCATGATCCCAGGGTCCTGGGATCAAGTCCTGCGTTGGGCTCCCTGCTCAGTGAGGAGTCAGCTTCTTCCCCTGTCTCTCCCCCTCCCTCTGCTTGTGCTCTCTTGCTATCTCCAGCAAAGAAATAAAATCTTTTTTAAACTAATTGAAAAATTATGAAGATTTACTTGGTTGAATTTTTGTTAACAGAATTAATTACCCTGAATGGGATAGCACCATATGGGTGATTCCCAGAAGACCAACAGCTGCCCTGCAACTTTAACCCCTACTCTGTGACTATGCCTTTTCCCTATTACCTTCACCAGTGCAACTGATGAGGAATCAGAAGGCCAGCTGAGGACAAAGCACAAGCTGACACCCAGCAACCTCTCCAACTCCTGGGTGGGATATGTGTGACATTCCTCCAGGAAGCTCCCAGCTTTCTTAATGTTAATGCCTTGCTAGAGGGGAAAAAAAACCCCAACTTGACAATGGCGATGCCCCCAGTATTTGGTAGGTCCTCTTTAGCCTATTAAAGTTCTTTTCAAAATCTCCCTTTTCCTTATATCTCCCACCTCCCAAGTATACAATCAGCCACCCCTCACAACCCCAGTGCAGCAGCTCTTCCTGCCCACAGGTCCTGTCTCCATGCTTTAATAAAACCACCTTTTTGTACCGAAGACATCTCAAGAATTCTTAGTCATTGGCTCAAAACTTCACCCCACCAAACCTCACCTACATTGCAAAACTACATCACAACTACACATTCTGTGGCTAGTCACCCTAGCCCCACATGGCTGGGGTGGAGGGTGCCTAGTGCTTGTTAGCACATCCTGCCGCCTGTGGATGAACAACACTCACCAAATTTTACAGAGTAAGGGACAGAGATCAAAGGTGCCAAAATACTGGTCTGCTAACTAAACAGATAAATTTTGGATCAATTCACTTGGCTCTCAACTACTAATGGGCAGACTGGCTGAAAAGGTTCTGAAATCCTAGTTTGTGACTTTATAGGATTCTGGGATCCTAAGGATGCTTTATCATTGGATCCAAAAACAGGCATGAGACCTGCTACCTCAAGAGCATGCTGGTGCCAAATTCAAATTTTAACATATTATTTTGAAATACCCCAAACAAGCACATTTTTAGCCATTGAGAACCTGCTTTTCATATCCCCACTGAAACCTTACCTGACAGCTCTTGCCAATGACCACTGATAAGCCAGAGCCCTATGGCTATAAGCCTCAGGTTGCTGCGGTCATTGGTCATGGGGGGTGTCTTTGACCTGGAGCTCCCCAACCCAACACAAGCTGCGCTGTTGAGCTATATACCTAGACACAGAAATCCCCTTCTCCCATCTCCATCTCCTCTCTCCCAGAGTACCCTAGAGTCCTCCCCTCCTGGATGGTGGCCCCCGCACCACAGACCTCCAGCCAGCTTCATGAGATGAAGAACTTCCCCTCCACACAACGCTCTCCAAGCACCTCTCAGTAAATATTGTGTATTACTGCCTCTTGTGGTTTATCCTTTTCCTTGATGAGCCCCAGATCCTTTGAGCCCTTATAGACCAATATTCCAAATATATAAAGAACTCTTAAAACTCAACAAGAAAACAACTGGGCAAAAGATTTGAACAGCTACTTCAGCAAAGAGGATATAAAAGAGGCAAACAAGTTCATGAAAAGGTGCTCAACATCACTAGCCATTAAATAAATCTAAAAACCATGATAAGATACTAGTATACACCTATTAGATTAGAGGGCGCAGGTGGGAAGACTGGCAATGCCAAGAGCTGGAGGATGTGGAGCAACCAGAACTCTCCTACGTTGCTGGTGGAAATGCAAAATGCTATAGCCATTTTTATAAAGAGTTGGGCAATTTCTTATGAAGTAAAATATGTACTTACCACATTATCCAGCCATCCCACTTCTAAGTATTTACCCAAGAAAAATGAAAACTTCTGATCACACAAAAACTGTATATAAATGCTTATAGCAACTGTATTCATAACCACCCAAAACTGGAAACAACCCAGATGTCCATCAACTGGTGAAAGATCTACCTGGGTGCATTCATACAATGGGATACTACCCAGCAATAAGTATAAATCAACTGCTGATGCACACAAATCTCTTTGACGTCAGCCTTAAGCAATATTTTTCTAGATCTGTTCCCTCAGGCCAGGGAAACAAAAGCAAAAATAAATGAGGCTATATCAAACTAAAAAGCTTTTGCACAGCAAAGAAAACCATCAATAAAATGAAAAGGCAATTTACTGAATGGGAGAAGATACTGCAAATGATATACCTGATAAGGGGTTAATATTCAAAATATTAAAGTATATCCTAATAATATCCCAAATAAAAGAAGTTGTATAACTCTACACCAGAAAACAATCCAATTAAAAAAATGGA